GCAGTTTAAGGGCCTCCCATAGCTGTCCCCGGGGCCCCAAAATCTGCCAGGGGCCCCTTTTACCGCCTCCTCGGGCGGGCTCCCAATTCAGGGGTCTGTCAGGGGTTTCCCCTTACGGCCCCTCCCATTGTGCTTCCCCAAATCGCCACATCGGGCCATGTCCCAAATTTCAAGTCCCTCACACTGCTGGTGTGTTCCTTTTTTTGGGTTCATAGGGTGCTTGCGATTACGGGGCCCCCCAAAAGCTGCTGCCAAAACCCCCTAATCTGCCAGGGGCCCCCCTGTCCCCACCTCCTAAAATTCCCCCCTGCTGCCGGGGTCCACAGGGGTCCATCCCAAATGTGCCATTTTCGGGGTCCCCTCACCCCTGCTGGTGTGTTAAATTTTTTTGCCTTTGGGTGTGGCAATTAGGGGCCTCCATAGCTGCGCCAGGCCCCAAATTGCCAGGGGCCCCCTTTATACCCCCCTCCTCATCTGCTGCCAAGTCCAGAGTCGTCAGGGGGCCCCCTGTCCCGCCTCCCATTGTGCTTTTTCTCCATGCCACACCCTTGCCATGTCCACTTTGGGGGTTTTCCACATTTCCCGGTGTTTTTCCATTTTTTGTTTTTGGGTGCTGGCAGATTCCCGGGCCCCCCATGCTGCTCCCAAAGGCCCCCCTAATCTCCCAATTGGGCCCCTATACCGCCTCCCATGCTGTGCCAAGCCCAAGTCTGCCCATGGGCCCTGAACGGGCCTCCCAACTGCTGTCTCCATCCCCACACTCTGGCATGGTGCCCACCTTTCCAGGTCTCCTCACACTGCTGGATGTGTTGAATTTTTTTGACAAAGGGTGCTGCAGATTACGGTCCTCCCCCATGAGCTTGCTAGCCAGGCCCCTAATGCTGCATGTGTCCCCTTTAATATTACCGCGCTCTCATGCACTGCCGGAGGTCCACAGTGTTTCCTGCCATGTCCACTTTCAGGTTCTCCTCACAAGCTCCTGCTGGTGTGTTGAATTTTTATTGACACAGTGTGCTGGCAGATTACGGGCCTCCTATAGCTTGCCTAGGCTGAGGGCCAGGCCCCTAATCTGTCCATGGGCCCCTATACCGCCTCCTCAAGCTGCTTGCTGACCAGGTCCCAGAGTCTCTCATGGGTCCCAGTAACGGCCACCCCATTTGCTGCGTGTCCTTCCATCGCCACAACTCTGCCATGTGCCACTTTCATGTCTCCTCACCCACTGCTGGTGTGTTCAATTTTTTGACCATAAGGGTGCTGGCAGATTAACGGGCCTCCCATAGCTGCCTGCCAGTCCCCTAAAACTATCTTAGCCCATGGCCCCCCTGTACCGCCTCCTCATAGCTGCTGCCAAGGTCCAACATTGTCTCATGCCATGTGGCCACTTTACAGGACTCCTCACACTGCTGATGTGTTCAATTTTTTTGAACCCCTAGGGTGCTGGCAGATTACGGGCCTCCCATAGCTTGCTGCTCAGGCCCCTAATCTGCCATGGCCCCTATAAACCGCCTCCACATGCTGCTGCCAAGTCCAGAGTCATGTCATGGGTCCCTGTACGGCCTCCCATTGCTGCTGTCTCCATCGCCACACTCTGCCATGTGCCACTTTCAGGTCTACTCACACACTGCTGGTGTGTTCCATTTTTTGACATAGGGTGCTGGCAGATTACGGGCCTCCCATAGCTGCTGCCAGGCCCCTTAATCTGCCATGGGCCCCTGTACCGCCTCCTCATCCTGCTGCCAGGTCCACAGTGTCTCATGCCATGTGCCACTTTCAGGTCTCCTCACACTGCTGGTGTGTTGAATTTTTTTGAGACATAGGGTGCGGGCAGATTACGGGCCTCCCATAGCTGCTGCCAGGCCCCTAATCTGCCATGGGCCCCTATACCGCCTCCACATGCTGCTTGCCGCCAAGCTGGGGGCTGCCCCCCGCCTCCCCCCCGCCCCCCCCTCTCGAGTCTGTCATGGGTCCCTGTACGGCCTCCCATTGCTGCTGTCTCCATCGCCACACTCTGCCATGTGCCACTTTCAGGTCTCCTCACACACTGCTGGTGTGTTGAATTTTTTGACATAGGGTGCCGGCAGATTACGGGCCTCCCATAGCTGCTGCCAGGCCCCTAATCTGCCAGATGGGCCCCTGTACCGCCTCCTCATGCTGCTGCCAGGTCCACAGTGTCTCATGCCATGTGCCACTTTCAGGTCTCCTCACACTGCGCGTGTGTTTTCAATTTTTGACATAGGGTGCTGGCAGATTACGGGCCTCCTATAGCTGCTGCCAGGCCCCCTAATCTGCCATGGGCCCCTATTACCCGCCTCCTCATGCTGCTGCCAGGTCCAGAGTCTCTCATGGGTCCCTGTACGGCCCTCCCATTGCTGCTGTCTCCATCGCCACACTCTGCGATGTGCCACTTTCAGGTCTCCTCACACTGCTGGTGTGTTCAATTTTTTGACATAGGGTGCTGGCAGATTACGGGCCTCCTATAGCTGCTGCCAGGCCCCTAATCTGCCATGGGCCCCCTATACCGCCTCCTCATGCTGCTGCCAGGTCCAGAGTCTCTCATGGGTCCCTGTACGGCCTCCCATTGCTGCTGTCTCCATCGCCACACTCTGCCATGTGCCACTTTCAGGTCTCCCTCACACACTGCTGGTGTGTTTCAATTTTTTGACATAGGGTGCTGGCAGATTACGGGCCTCCCATTGCTGCTGCCAGGCCCGTAATCTGCCATGGGCCCCCCGTACCGACTCCTCATGCTGTGACGTTGCAACAAGGTGGAATTCAACCCTACATATGTTAGACCGCCTTTACGAACAGCAAAAGGCCATCACCGATTTCCTGATGTTAAAAAAAGCGGATAAAGGTACTCCCTGTGTAACTTAGATGTCAGCCATTGGCAGCTCATGCGTGACACCTGCGCTTGCTCAGGCCCTTTGAGGAGGCCACGCTATTCGTGAGTCGGCAGGACTATGGGATGAACGACGTCATTCCTCTGTTGCACGTCCTGGAACAAATGCTGTTAACAAATGGCTGGTCAGGGTGCGGTAAGACGTGGCGCACAGATCTCAACGCCACTTGACCCCTGTGGGGGGCAGGACAGGAAGAAGAGGAGGAGGTAGAGGAGGACATTGGTGCTCAGGAATTATTGAGTGAAATGGGTGGTTTTTCCACTCAGCGGACAGGAGTGGAGGAGCAGGAAGCATCTGGTAGAGGAGGAGGAAGAGGAGACAGAGGACCCAGACGCACCGTGGGCAGTATGCTGTGGAGATGGAGGCAGGGAGTCCCTCGCATTCCTTGGCACAAATGGCCCATAGCATGCTCGCTTGCTTGCGTACCGACAGCCGAATATAACCATCAGACAGAGGGGATGACTTTTGGCTGTCCACCTTGTTGGACCCTCGCTACCGTTCAAAAATGGTGGCCTTTTTCACACCTGCATGAGAGGGAGGGCCAAATTAAACGTACTATAAAAACCACCTATGTAGTCAGCTGGTCTCACTGCCTGTCTGCGCCAACGTCCATCCTCAGACACTGTGGGCCTGTAACGCTCGCGTTCCCACTGCCATGGCAGGCAGGGGAGGGGTGGGGTGGTAGGAGCAGTGGCAGCTCCACCAGCAGCCAGCTGCCTCAGTCTGCAGTCGATGATGAGTAGCTTTCTTCACCAGCGCAGTGAGGAAACTAATAACCAGCCTCGCAGCAGCAGCAGCAGCAGCATCAGGTGGACCTGGAGCAGGACCTCAAACAACAGGCTTAGGCCTACTTGGACAGCACCCTGCCAACCGAGGTAGACAATCCCCTTGACTACTGGGCAACGAAACTTGACCTTTGGCCCCAACTAGCTGAATTTGCCCTTGAAAGGCTGTCATGCCCGGCCAGTAGCGTGGCATCGGAGCGCGTGTTTAGTGCGGTCAGGAGGTATAGCAACTCTCCGCGGAGGACACGACTGTTCCCACAGCCCAAAGTGTGGAGAGACTCACGTTTGTGAAAATGAATCAGGCTGTGTGGATTAGTCTGGATTTCAAACCACCCAGTTCCTGACACAACTGACTAAATCCGCCATGAATCATGCCCCAAACATGTGCCACTTTCAGGTCTCCTCACACTGCTGGTGTGTGTTCCATTTTTTGTGTCATAGGGTGCTGGCAGATTACGGGCCTCCCATAGCTGCTGCCAGGCCCCTAATCTGCCATGGGCCCCTATACCGCCTCCTCATGCTGCTTGCCAAGTCCAGAGTCTCTCATGGGTCCCTGTACGGCCTCCCATTGCTGCTGTCTCCATCGCCACACTCTGCCAATGTGCCACTTTCAGGTCTCCTCACACTGCTGGTGTGTTCCATTTTTTGTCATAGGGGTGCTGGCAGATTACGGGCCTCCCATAGCTGCAAGCCAGGCCCCTAATCTGCCATGGGCCCCTATACCGCTTCCTCATGCTGCTGCCAGGTCCAGAGTCTCTCATGGGTCCCTGTACGGCCTCCCATTGCTGCTGTCACGTCCATCGCCACACTCTCCATGTGCCACTTTCAGGTCTCCTCACACTGCTGGTGTGTTCCATTTTTTGTCATAGGGTGCTGGCAGATTACGGGCCCTCCCATAGCTGCTGCCAGGCCCCTAATCTGCCATGGGCCCCCGTACCGAGACTCCTCATGCTGCTGCCAGGCCCGTAATCTGTCATGGGCCCCTGTTGTCGCTTGTTGGCATATTCCGCTCGTTTCAGATGCTCCTTCTCCTGCTACTCCCTCTTCACGGATTCCGTCAGCAGTCTTTCTTGAATCCGTTTCCAAGAGACAACAGTTTGCGAGCACGCACCCGACGGTGCAGAAGCTGAAGGTCCTCCTGTCCAAGTTGCTGCTGCCAGGCTCGTAATCTGTCATGCGCCCCTGTACCCGCCTCCTCATGCTGCTGCCAGGTCCAGAGTGTGTCATGGGGCCCCCGTACCGACTCCTCATGCTGCTGCCAGGCCCGTAATCTGTCATGGGCCCCTGTACCGCCTCCCCATGCTGCTGCCAGGTCCAGAGAGTGTGTCATGGTCCCTGTACGGCCTCCCATTGCTGCTGCCAGGCCCGTAATCTGCCATGGGCCCCCGTACCAACTCCTCATGCTGCTGCTAGGTCCCGTAATCTGTCATGGGCCCCTGTTACCGCCTCCTCATGCTGCTGCCAGGTCCAGAGTGTGTCATGGGGTTCCTGTACGGCCTCCCATTGCTGCTGTCTCCATCGCCACACTCTGCCATGTGCCACTTTCAGGTCTCCTCACACTGCTGGTGGTTTTCCATTTTGTCATAGGGTGCTGTATGGCCTCCCCATTGCTGCTGCCTCCACCGCCACACACTGTGGCTCCACACTCTGGTTTTGGCCCCGTGACTGCCCAAATGATGGTGAAGTGTGCGGTGTTTCTAAAGATCGACGGCACTCATCTGCATGTCATACTGACTGTCAGTATTAGTTCTCTTCCCCAGCAGACTCCAAGGGCATTTAAATTAAAGGTAAAGTGTTCTGCACTATATATAAAGGCTCTCTGAAGCCTAGAAACACCCTTTTATAAGTTAAATTCGCAGCGAATATATTCGACTCGAATCGAAATTTTTTCACGAATTTCGGCCGAAATCAGTCGAATCGAATTTTTGTGAATACTTCGCTCATCTCTAGGTAGGTCGTGCATCTAGCAAGGTCTTTCTTTGGAATAAAGAAGATGATGCTCAGGTTCATGTGGGCAAATAAGAAACCGAGAATTAGTTATGAGGTATTGTGTAGGATAAAAGGGAATGGGGGTTGGGTTTGCCTAATATTAGAAAATATTATTTAGCGGTAATATTATCACGAATAGTGGACTGGACATATAATGCACAAGGGAAAGGTTGGGTAAATATGAAAGGGTTTTTGAGTAAGGCACAGTTAGGGAAGGTTGTTTAGATACCAAATAAATTCTGTATATTGGATATGAATATTAGTCTATTGACTAAGAAAGTTTTAAGTGTTTGGGATATAATTTATAAGTAAAAGGGATGGAGATATAATTCAATATTGACCCCCTTGGTGGGAACGGAGTATTTCCCCCCAGGGAAAGGCAATATTTCTGGAAAATGGATTAAAGATAAAAATGCACATTTGAAGGATATATTAAATAAAGAGAAACTGCACAGTTTTCATGATTTAAAGAAGAAAAAATATTTATTTTTCACATTAGATGAGTGGTGGTACTGTCAATTAAGTCATTTTGTTTCAAGGCTCCCACAACCACTGAGGACTCTGGAGGATCTGTATCCTTTTGAAAAATTGTTGAACGTAAATATAGTTCCAAATCAAGTCACCTCTAAGATCTATAAGTTTCTTATAGATATGGAAGGAGCTGATCCTCGCTTGTTCTTGGAAAAATGGAAAAAGGAACTTGGAACAAAACTGAATGAGCAACAAAAGAGTAAAATATTTAAACTATCACATAAGGCAATGAATATGACCACAGTTGAAATTAATTACAAATGTCTGGTGAGATGGTATATTACACTGAGTGTGGCACATAAGCAACAAGTAGATGTTTCACCTATATGTTGGAGAGGATGTGGGAATAAGAGAACAATGGCTCATATATGGTGGGATTGCCCGAGAACACAGGACTACTGGAAAGAAATAATCCAATATATTCAGGAAATATGTGGGATCACCATACAGAAAGACCCGTGGATGTGTTTATTTTATAACTTCAAGCCTTCAGTGAAACTGCATAAAAATTGTGTATTATATAATTTAGTAAGAGTGGCTAAGGGCTTGATTCACAAGTTTTGGCAAGCTCCAGATCTGCCAAGAATAATTGATTGGATATATTGAGTTGAAAATATTTATAGGATGGAGGAGTTATATCATATAGAGGAGGATAAAATAGAAAAATTCAGGAAAACGTGGAGTAGTTGGTTAGACTTTAAAACATCTAAAAGATATCTGAAACAGGTTGGAGTTTAGAGGGAAAAGTTTAGAGAGTTCGACTGAGTATTTGAAAGGGATAGTGGAGGTGGTAGGGAAGGGACATAGATGTAGATAGAGAAGTATGAAGTAGGATATAGTTTGGGCAGGGGGACATGGACAGGGGTAACTGGAGGGGGGGGGGGGTTTGGTGGGAGGAAGGGGTGGTAGGAGAAAGGGTGATGTAAAATGGAATTCATGTGTATATGAAGTTTTTGTTTATAAGGTTGTTCTTTTTTTTTTCTACTGAAAATTTTCAATAAAATATATAATAAAAAAAATGATATATTGCTTACACATGCCATGGGTATATGTAGAATTACACCCCAAAATACATTCTGCTACCTCCCGATTATGGGGATACCACATGTGAGAGTCTAGCCGCATACAGGACCCCAAAATAAAGGGTGTAGCCCTATTACTGACCTCTAGCTGCCGCTACTGATGAGCGGCGGCCATTTGGTACTTTATTTATTTTATTACTCCACGTGGATACGTTTTTATGTTACTTGCTATTATTACATTAAATAAAATACTACACTATAAGCACCTTTCTGGCTCCTGTGGCTGAGCTAATTCCCTCCAGGACCACCAGGCACCCACCCTGACGGATGGACGGATGACCCCGTACCTGTCAGCATACCGCTGCACCCCCAGATGTGCGATGTATTATAATCAATGCGCATTATAATTTATGGTCTACTGAGTGCACATCCATACCAAGGATGGATTTCCTTTTACAAGCTTTTGCACAGTTACTCATGGATAACTTCACGTGCCAATCATAAGCATTTCTTTAGCTGATATCTTTGCACAAGATACATTTTAAATTCATGAATGCTCTGATGAACTTATTTTATTGCATTTTATGTCATCTTGAACTAGTTATATTAATATTGCACTTTCAGCACTTTACTCACATATGCGTTTAAGTCACATTTGTTTATGGAATTTATGACATGCATTTTTTAGCGCTGCACTAATATTTTAGAAATATACACTTATTGGGATTTTTTTTACCAAAGACATGTAGCAGAATACATTTTAGCCTAAATTTATGAAGTAGAAAATGTTGGGTTTTTTCAACATTTTCGGTCTTTTTTCATTTATATCACAAAAAACAAAAATCCCATTGGTGATCAAATGCCACCAAAAGAAAGCTCTATTTGTGTAAGAAAGGGCATACATTTTGTTTGGGTACAGCATTGCATGACTGCTCAATTGTTATTTGAAATAGCGCTGCGCCGAATAGCAAAAAATGGCATGGACAGGAAGGGTGTAAATCTGGAGGGCAAATGGTTTAGAAAACTAAAACAAGCACCCTTTCTCTACCTTGATAAGTCAGTTCAAAAAATTGTTGGTGTAGATAAAAAGTTTACATTTTATTCTTTAATTTGTCCTGTTTAAAATGACACTAAAATTATGATTCTAGTATGGAGTATTGCAAATGTATTTACAAATTAAATAAATGCTTTCTTCAATGATCTAAATAACTGACATCATTTACAAATCAAAGCTCACATCCTTGAACTGCAGATGAATGAAACAGGGTAAATGCAAAAGTAATCTTACGTCATATATTTCTAACCCTGAACCGTGTTTGTAGCGTGATCAATGCTCACAACTCCTTAAGGCTATGGCTACACGGGTAATTACATTTCTTTGTTAATGAGAAATTTAATTACCTATTGACAGTCATCTTATTAGTGGCACATTGACTGGTGTGCTGCATATGAGGTGACTGCTAGGGATGAGCAAATGTGAGATCAGTTTATTGGTGAATATTTTGACCCTAAAACCTAACCCCACTGAAACAGATTCTGGCCAAGAGGTAGGGGATTGTCAAAAAAGGCATGGGGTAGCTGGGTTCTGCCATAAGGTACATGCACCAATGTGAAAGAAATGTAACAAATTTCCATACTGCTGGGGGAGCGTCCTCCCTTGTATACAATTTCAAGGGTGACATGGGAATAACACCAAACCTTTTAAATAACATGCTTAGAAGATTAATTTAAGCTGAATGTGGTGTTATGAAACTTTGATTCTCAAGGACATTGTCAGAGACACCATATTCTGACATCACATATTTTGGATATGTAATTGATTTTTTTTTGTTTTTTACTTTTATCTTAATAGTTGGCTTAAATACAGCAGTGGGAACCCAAAATGATCATCATCATTTTTTTATCCGGAGGTAAAAGGCCTCAATTAAATAGTAGAAGTAGCCATGACAGATGTAAAATCTGTTGGAAAGTGTACTCTTAAAAAAAAAAAAAAAAAAACTAGAGTCCTCAATTCTGTGCCAACAAGTCAATGGCAAAATGTTTTTTTACAGTAATTGTGAGCTTTGTTTTTTCAGTATTATATTGTCTTAAAAGTTAAATAAGGTCTCATGCACACTAGAGCTCACAAACATTGCTTTTACTCGCATTTGATCTTTTTTTTTCCTCTGCCTCTAAATTTCCCTCAGTGTTGAATACAGCATGTGTCCATTTCCACTATAGGCGTTTACAAGGAGTTTAGAGGCAGGAGTTTTAGAGGCAGAAAAAAAAATCACTTGTGCATTCAAGAGAGAAGCATTTTGGCAGATAAAATACCTGATGTGCCTAAATATGTGTCAACGGGTCTAAACGGATGTTAAAGCTAGGCGCTTTTATCATTTGAGTATTTTTGCATTTCAATGATCAGAATAACTAAGCCAAATATACTTCAGTGCAATTATATCACCCTATTATGTGCTCTACCATATACTGCTGCACAGCACAGCCATCCACAGCAGTGTCATTAAAGTGAATCACACAAATCCCGCCCCCTAGTAAAACACTCCCAGCACACAATTAACCTTTGATCGACCCTCATGTTAACCCCTTCCTGCCCAGTGCCATTAGTACAGTGTCAGTGCTGACAGCACAATTGTCAGTTAAAGTATCGCAGCGTTCTTAAGCAAAAAATAACCCAGTCAGGAGGGGGGGGGGCAAATCCTCAGGAGGGCAAGTGGTTAATATTTAGCCAATTAGATAAACGACCAAGTGCTTGATGCGCCTCAATGTGTTTGAAAAATGTGGCTTAGGAGCGTTTTTGCAGCTGCTTTTCTCCTGCTGGGAGAAAACATTTAGCCCCAGTGTGCATGAAGCCTAAAATGTAAAAAAAGGAGTACACAAAAACACTGCATAACTACAATCCTACATTTTCTGAACCCTTCTAATCTCTGTATCTCCAATTATTCTAAAAAAAAATCAAAATATAGACTTCAGGTATGTATTTGGTGGTAATTGGGTAGCATCAGGGCATACATGAGCACTGGCATATGCAGCATATTGAAAAAGACAAGGTAGGTTTTGTTTTGCAATAAAAATTGCAAAGTTATTACACCCCACTTATAATCATTTTTACAAGGCTACATCTAGCCACCCCTCTGATGTAACAATTCCCCAGTGTACTAGCAGAGTATAACTTCACTGACGCATGAAAAAAACATCATTCTACTAGGAAACATTATACATTTTATATGATCCCCCAGATCTCAGTAGCTGTCTTTCCTATACTGTGGTCTG